ACAGAAATGGTTGTAAATTTTGTTTAAAAAAACCGTGTGGCAATTGTTGTCTGTCATGAAGAGAAATTCAAAAATATTTACCTTTTAAATTTGCCTTTTCATGAAAGTAAGCTGGCTGAATTTGGTATGAACTGCTTAAGAATGAATCTATCTCAGTTTCCACACTCCATTCTAAAGATTACTTGTTTCGATCTTGATGCATGGTTATTTGATCTATTTAAAAGACTATACTGATATCATAGCTGATCTATCTGCAAGATCATTTTAGTCTTCTGGATTTTGTAATATCTATGACTGGTGAACTTTATAGCAGGAGAGAGTATTCCAGTTAACGAGCTTGATGACAATGTGGTGGAAATGTATGTTGAGGATATGAGGGCAAAATGTAAAGAGATATTTATCCTATTTAAGAATTTATGCAAAAGAAAAAGTGTAGGCTTTCTCTTCCTTTTTCTTCTCCTTCTTTGGTTGGTTAAATGTTTCTTAAGTTAGAATGATTGTCATATGTTCTAATGTCTGAACTTACTGTAGGTTGAAATTGTTGTGCTGGAAGGGGATAATCCTGCAACACTGCTTCTACAGTATGTAATGCAGGCTGGGATTAATACTCTAGTGTTGGGCTCTTCCTCTCCAAGTTACTTTTCCAGGTATGGCATAGGATCAAGATGTCTTGGATTTGCATTTGTTAGAGATATATAATGTCTCATATCGGTTGCATAAAGCTGCTCAATATGATAATGGGCCTAGCTATATCACTTATCACATTAAGGTGTCTATCGAAGGCTCATATTCTTTTCCATGGTATGGCAACCGAAAAGATCATTTGTTCGAATTTCATTTGAAGAATTTTCAAATGCTTGGCCTATGGAAAATAGTCTGCACTTGAGGGGCATGCTGAAAACTAATCTAAGTAAATAGAAGTGTCACTTCTGTAACAATTTAAAATTTGATCAGGTGTTCATACTATTCAACAGTTTAATTGCCCAAGTTATGACATCTTTTAGTACAAAGATTTTGACTGGTAATATGAGGCCTGTCTTTCTGAAGATTACGTTGCATCAAGAGTTACCCAAACTGTTATCGATCATGGTTAATCTTATTGATTTTCTTAATCTCCATAGTGGGAGTCATGTTCTCTGCCGAAATATTATGTTTTTTATCTGACGATTTTTATCTTCGGGCTGCAACTTGAGCTTTTATATGATAATATCGTGATGCTTGATTTTTAATTGCTACTGGTGCTAAAAATATTTAATCAATTGTAACTAGGAGGCAGAAGGATTCAGGCGTACCATCTGTTATCCTGAAGCATGCTCCTGAGTCTTGTGATGTTTATGTGGTGTCGTCAAATGGGCTTGTGAAAGACTCCTTGAGTCCCCTGTTACCTACTGGTACATGAAAAAAAATATTCCGCTCTTTGTTATTACCTTGATTTCATTTGTCATCTCTCTTTTGCCTTCCGAGAATAGTAAGTTTAACTTCCAACAAGTACTTTCTATTCTGAAACAGAGACAGAAGTTAGTACTATCAATCAACAAGAATCCAATGTGTCTTATGCCGCCATGGAATTTAATAGAAGAGCAGCATCACTTCCAGACTTTACCCACCTGAATTCTCCAGCATTTGCACATGGGAACTCTTCTATTCATATCAGGTCTCAGCAAAGATATAAACAAAATGTAGAAGAATTTACAGCAGGTCCGGAGGTAGTCAATGGTGGTCATTCTTCCACTTGTTCAGAGCAGGTCAATTTGTTTTTATCAAGCTTTCTCTTGAATATTGTACTATTTATTCCAATGTCTTATTAGAGTATAATATTACTTGTAACAGTATCAAGAATAAGTATGTTGAGGTATTTTTTTATGTCATTGAGCAGTCAGACATTCAGGCTGAAATGGAAAGAATGCGCTTAGAATTACAAAATACCATTGCAATGTACAACCAAACGTGTGAACATCTGATCCATGCTCAAAACAAGGTAAAATCCTTATCTATTTATTTCACCTCGAAATCAGGTACTTGATTGCTCCTCTTTCATACGAGAAAATGAACAAATTTATGCTTTTTGGCAGAATCAACTTCTTGTCGTCTTCTTTATCTTAAGTTCCATTTGTGGTGATGGCTTAGAACATTACATGGTATACAGCAACTCAGCCACTAGGACAAATCACCTATTGCCCGACCATATTTGTCCGCGGTTACCATCAATCATATCTGAACGTAACCCTCTGGCTATCTTTCAGGTCCAACTACTTTCTTCTGAATGCCTTGAAGAAGCAAGAAGAGTGAATGCAGCCCAGAAAAGAGAAGAAAACCTAAGGAAAACAGCTGCTGAAGCAAAGAAGAAGCATGTGGAAATGGAGAAGGAGGTCAAGATAGCAAGAAAGTTGCTCGCCGAAGAGGCTTGTGAGAGGCAGATAGCAGAGCTGAAGGCTCTCCAACGGTCCTTAGAAAAACAAAAGGTCGTCGATGCACTGATGTCATGTGATGGAAGGTATAGGAGGCTAACTAGAGAAGAGATTGAGGTGGCTACTGATTTCTTTTCTGACTCTAAGATGATTGGCGAAGGAGGATATGGGAAAGTTTACAAAGGCAACCTTGATCATACCCCTGTTGCCATCAAAATTCTTCATCCTGATGCATCACAAAAGAAAGAGGAATTTCTAAGAGAGGTTCTCCTCAATCTCTATTGATTTCTTTCTCATTCAAAATATCTGGATTCTTCACCAAGACTGCTTTCCTTTCAAAGCACACATTATTTTTTAACTGAAGACACTTCTCTAGCATTATTATCCGCACAAAATAATACTTCTGACCTCATATCATTAATCGATCCCTTTCATCCTTTTTTTTTTTTTTG